CAACGCCATTGTACTTTCAACTGTTATACAGAGAATGGTGAAGGTTTTTTTTTCATCTTTAGTTTGGCAATTACGTGTCCTTGGACATTTGACCAGAAATAATTGTAGAAATAATACATGTAATTATTTTCCAACAAAAAATAATATATAAAAAATCTTCCACCATTCTCTAACACAGTGTAAAAGTTATAACTTAAAGATACGCTGACAGAACATGGTGCAATTAGTAATAATTTTACTCTAATGACATCAAATTCCCTCTGGGAACTATAATCAATGTCAAAAATCTTGTGTTTTCGTAAGATCGCTTGTTTTAATCGGTTCATCAAATTGAATGCCGACAACGACTAAACAAAATGCTCTTTCAAATTATCGCTGATGATTTACACCTAGCCCTTATCGCGCGCAATAATCTTGCAGGAACAAATATGGCGGACAAGGCAGTTACAGACATGACAGTATTTTTGTTGTTTGTGATAACATTTGCAGTTATTCTGTCTTATAAATTATAATGCAACATTACAATTGTTAAATGGCTTGTCATTGTTTCGTTCATCCGTTAAACGACCGTAACGCTGCGGGCCAGTACTAGATTTAAAGTGTTTTACAGATTCTTTTTTATGATATAACTCGGTGTTCATGATGTTTCACAGCGAGAATACTTGAGAAAAAAGTACGTTTTATGTAACATTTAAATGATGGTTGTTTTTAGAAATAAGTTTAGTGTGAAAGTATTTACGTCCAAGAATCATAACAATATTCAGCCGAGCCGTGAAAATGAATTTTTTTTAAAAAAGCAATATATTAATTATATTTTGATGTTAATATTTCACGATGATTTCTTTTGAATTCAGTCAGAAAAGAACATCTTAGTCTTATATATCTAGATTTAATCGTAGTGTTGCAGTGTTTGGGGAACTCACAAAAATGGACGTATGTAAACATTTTCATATTAGTATTCATGGTTCCCTTAACTTGATTTCGCGCCATTGAGTTGTTTCAATTATTTTCTTGCGATTGCATAGAATATAAAAGAAATTTAAAGAACACTTTATCAAAGTGTTTTTATTATTATTTATATAAGAGATATAAATAGACACTATTCCTTTTTATGAGAAATGTTCAGCAATGATATAATTTGGTCAATTAGATAAAAAATGTTGTACCACTTGAAATTTCACTGGTTTTTTTTTGTTGTTGTTTTAGTTTTATTGTGTGTCTTAGTCAGATATTATGAAATTATATTGGTGAATATGCAGGAATTTTTATCGTCTGCTAGGTAAATGCTAGCAACAGACGAGATTCTACATGTGTCACAAGGATGTACATATATTTGATTGTGCGACCATAAAATAATGATGTTTACACAGTCAATAATTTACATTTATGTTAACATGAAAGGAATAATGTGACTAATTTTATAACATTAGATAGCTTTTGTTCCTTTAGAGGTGCCATATTACCAAAATATTTACCATTTTTATCGCTCAACATTTTGCATATCTCTTTCATAAGGCGGCATTCTTTTCCGTTTGTTAATGCAAACTACATCTTAATTGTGAATAAAATAGCTTATTTTTCGCATAAAATTGATCTAATTACCCAATTTTATGTTGTGTCTGTAGTTTGTACAAGTTTAGATATCTGGTCTGTATCAAACGCTTACATCCTGTGACGATAACGACAATGCATTGTTAGACTTGTATATTATATTACCCATTACCCAAATATTAAACGCTGTTAAATTTCAAAATAATTCAACGGGTACATTTTAAGAACGATTATATTTCCACGAAAACAAACACTGTGTACGAATTTTCTTACTGTTTATGAAATAATCGTTATTGGTTATATTGTTATTGGTATATTAATTAAAAAAGGAACGCCTTTCTGAATCAGAGTAATTGCTTTGTCTAGAATATTTACATTAATGAAATCACATAAAATATCATAGTAAATGTGTTATATGTTAAAGATAGCAGTTTTGCGTAAAAATAATAAAAAAAATCAAATTTAAGTATTTTTTAGATGAAAATGTATCCTCAGATTTAGTACTGTTTCTTATTTCTGACATGCTGTACAGCGCCAATGTTTTGTTATTGTACAGTGTCCAAAAGTGACCAGTGGTGGAGGTCTTAAATCACCTGCTCCAAACATAAGACATCAATAATGCGTGTTTAATGTCTAACATGGACAGTTGGACATGCACATTTGTAAGGAGATAATGTATACACCGCCTTAATAATGGGCACATTTCCATCAAAATCCCCCCATATCGCGTTGACTTGCCGTGGTCTAACACAAATTTTACATTAGTTCAAATGGCCGGAACCCTTGTTTGATGTTTTTGTTGGGTTTTGGACATATTAGTTTTTCTCCACTATATGTGCATTATTCTTTAGAATTACTCGGCCCTGTTTAATGTCTTTCGCACTAATTATAGCTTTTAACCTCGATATGTTTTAAGATTTATGTGTTCACGTGCTGAAAACATCCGGTGTACCGCAAGAAAAGAGGCGACGCTCCTGACGGTTAAAAGCAGACGACAACTTTGAAAGAGTCCGTCGCGTCACCCAGCGTTCCTACGCAAAATCAAATCTGCAGATTATTAAAATTCTAATCTGTAAATTTTGTATTTCGTTTTATTTGTTGGTAAATAACTTTCAAATAGCGATGTATTAAAAATTTACCAATGTTCGTTGAATAAACCGTATACCTATCTTTGGGTGATGAATATTGTTATCAGATCATTCAGACAATGTTGTTAAATGAAGCATTGTCATATTTTCAATTAGCACATTTTTCGCTGGTCATTGTCACAGATTGTTAAATAAACGCACAATGCCTCGTAACCGTCTGGCGATTTTTATATCTTTACAATCTCGTCGGTTCTCGCGGAAGTCCGAAATTTGAGCAATTTGACGCCATATTCCTCTTTAAATCATAAAATCGGCGCGGTAAATATGTATAATAGCTTTACTGTTTTATTTCACTGTTCAATAGGAGAATTATTTACACATAAATAAATGCAAGCTGTAATTTTATTTATTTCTGAAATAAAATGGTATAAGTAATATTACGGTTAGTTATGTGCATGTTTACAACTTCACACCCTTTTTGTATCGTTTATTACTAAATCATTGGTCCCACATTATAGAAGTACAGTTCCTCTCATTCTTGTACTATTTAATTACTTTGTATGGCAACTTCTAAAGGTTCTAAATTAAACACCACTTACAAGTATTATGGTGGCAGATTGTCTTTTAAACAGTACTGCGTTCAGCTTTTCCACCGTTTTTAACATCTCCTAAATTCGAAATTTTCTTTTTCTTTATTTACTGAACTTTAGACTTTGCTTACGATTCCAGAATGATTTAAAAACATATTTTTACGTTAGATGTTCATATATTGGAAATCACTTCTTCAGACGTGTTCAAATAAGTTTTCTAAGCACCAAACTCTTAACGCCCGGATGCACGGACATGTCACATTTGATATAAACGACAAGAACATTTGAGCCGCGTCACGACAAAACCAACGTAATGCGTTTGCGACTAGCATGGATCCAGACCAGCCTGCGCATCCGCGCAGTCTGATCAGGATCCATGCTGTTCGCTTACAAACCCTATAACAAGTAGAGAAACTAATAGCGAACAGCATGGATCCTGATCAGACTGCGCGGATGCGTAGGCTGGTCTTGATCCATGCTGGTCGCAAACCCATTATGTTGGTTTTGTCGTGACGCGGCTCAATCATGTTTTAATCTCTTACTAAGTCACATTCTACAAAAAGAAATCACCGATCTTTCCGTGAATAATAAATTTAAAAAAAGTTTTGGTTTTAAAAAACGGGCTTTTTTCCCCCACGGGGGATGATTATTCAGGGAATATGATATGTAATTTTTAAAATTAATTAGGGAATCTCATTTTTGTAAATTTAGTGCATTTTAAAAAAATTTCATCTGTTTGGGAACAACAAATTCTTGAATATATTTTCTTACGTTTTTAAACCTTATATAATGAATCCTTAATGAATAATCATTAGAAACATACAAGAATCGCCGAATAATCATGTATATTTCTCAATATTACTATCGATATTTACATTTAAAACTATACACTGTATGTTAATCAGTATAAATTTAATAGAAAGTAGAATGATTCATCATCATCATCATCATCATCATCGTCATCGTCATCGTCATATCACCACCATCATCATCACCATAATCATCATCATCATAATCATCATCATCATCATCATCACCACCACAATCATCATCATTTTTATTATTATTATTATTATTATTTTCATTTTTATTATTAGTATTAGTATTAGTATTAGTATTAGTATTAGTATTATTAATGAATCTTGTGAACATGCATTCATATATATTACCTGAGACTTATATTACATATTATATTAAATATAAATTTAGCTCTGTGATATTACGTACAAAATCATCACTAAACAATGGGAAAAAAAACATCTAAAAGTTTTCTTCATTTACATAGCTTCAAGTTAATGATTTTGTTAATATTAAATGAAATCTTATTTATTTTTAACAACTAGAAACAAGTGTTTTATTTTACCTATATGTATATAACTAACCTTATGTATAAAGTAATAATACATTTGTATTAAGAAAGGGAAAACAGTATAAGATTTTTAGAAATAAGTGGCGGGTTATCATATAAATTCTTCATTTTCTCGACAAAAACTTCACCTGTTAAACTTTATTTTCATCTGAGATAATTTCATTACAATAACTCACTTGTATAAACGCATCTACTAACAACTTAGTAATACATTAACGTAAATTACCTTGCTACAAAAAAAACAACAACAGTTTAATAATACAAATGCGAACACTTTAAAACAGCCAGCCAAGTTAAATAAATCTCGGTTTACTGTAAAATGAAGAAAAAACATCGTCTTCCGTAACTGAACCGTCAACGCTGAAAAATATATCATAAACGTTTTCTACTTTAGTTTTACCTTCCTTCCGTTTTTTTAGGTATCGGAGAGGTTTACCGTATCGGTTAGTGTAATTTTCGGTGTTTCACCATTTCGTGCTAGCGTATCTTACAATCAACAGTTCGGTTTATTGGAGTGGACCGTAGAGTTTAAATTACAACTAGTGTATTAATTTGGATGTAAAAGTGTTTAGTGAAAATACAAGATTGAAATTAAATTTAAACTTTTCGCTAATAGGAAAAGAATATTTTGATATTTTGCAATAAATTGCGTACAATTTGCAAACGGATTTACTATACTTTTGAAAGAAAAAAGAGCAAAATTACTTTTACATTAATTTTTGTGAAATTTAGTGTGTTTTTTTTTCTTTCTTTCTTTTTATGCAAAAAGAGGATTTCTTTTTTTTCTGAAGTGTACAGTATCAAAACCCAGACCATAAATCTTTGCTTTGACGGCAGGCCTTGCTTTTTTTGACTCGAATACACAATTTTATGACATTTTTTGATATATTAGAAACGGTTTGCCATTAAACATGGCATTGCTATCATCGGACCTGACATAAATTACGGGCGTTTAGTTTTTTTCCAGTTAAAGCACATGCTTGAAACATGGATTGTATATGACAGGTGGATTTTTATAAAATAAAAAAATAAAAACTTTATTGAAAATATGTAACCGTGAAAATAAGTTTTATTACAAGTAAAAACTAATGTTTTTTGGAATAAATCCTTATTCAAATTTGTGAAAAATTTATGATTCAATAACAATAATTGGATACTTATCAAAGAAGACATCAACATGAAGTTTTACGGACCATTTACAATTTTACTTGGCCTGTTTACCCAGGTAAGCGCTTAAATAAGGTTATTTTATTTTGTGAAAGAATCTTGTAAAATCTATTTTCATGGGAGGCAAACAAAAGCTTTCAAAGCACTGTAGATATTGAGCCGTATATCTGCGGGAAACCAGCCGGGGAAATTTGAAATCGTTAAATTTGTTTTTGAATTACAGACGATTTGTTAGCATATCTGTTTCAATTTAGTAATTTAGTTAAAAACAAGAACCAATTTGTTCCCATCGTTGCCAAGAGATTTTTACGGTGAAAATGAATTAGTTATGTCAAAAGTTTTGTCGGAGTCTCAGATTTTTGTTTCGAGAGGTTTTTTAAGTTTCTGGATAGAGACAAGAAAGTTGAGAATGAAACTGAAATATCTGATGAATCTTGACTTATTGATTCTTTAATCGTTGAGAGAGAGAGCCTCGTTCTTGTTCAAGTATGATGGAAAATGTAAAGGCTTTCAGTTTCTTTTTTAATGTAAGATAAAAAAAATAAGGTAGCTACATTTATGTATATATATGAGTAAATTGTACATAATTAGATAACAGTTCAATGATGTATTTGTCTTGAATTTAAGTAATAACAGAATGATGAAGTTGATATTCGACAGCAGTAGGATATAGCACTTCTCTCGTGCAATAATATTTTTGTCGGGAAAAAATAATTGCAATATTGATATCAAACAGATACTTATGAATTGAAGCTGTATGCACCACGTTTGTACAGGTAGCTTTAATTCTAAAGTTGATATAACATCAAACCTTGAATAGTGCAACTATTATCTAACCGTGGTTCTGCACGAAATAGGCAATTATTTCCTATCTACGCGGTTGGTCTAATATTTGTCGTCTGCTGCGTTGAACAAGTGTAAGAATTGCATAAAATAATTAGATCGTATGTCGCCAAAGGTCACAGGCACGCTTAACCCGTGCATTGTTGTGCATAATAAGGAATCCAATTGTTACACTGATAATAAATATCTTAAAACATTTTCGTATTTAACCTATTTATCTTTAATAGTATCTAAATTTCAAACAGAAAATATGTCAGATCCATTGTTTTTGCCTACTATAATTACTTATATAAGATAGAATACATACATTGGCCTGCTTATATAAATAGTATATATTTCTCACCTTATTTGCCAGATGTCAAATAATTCAAATTTTTTAACCTAATATGATTAAGTGAAAATAATATGTGGCGTTAACAAAATGTATAATGTAATTTCATACTCCCAGCCTATCCTTTCCCATTCTTAAAGTCAATCTTAAGTTGATCGATATATTCAATTACACTATAAAGGACACTTCATCTGATTGCACTCAATTATTTCATTCACTTTTCACTCGACCGAAACTTACTACATTAGCTTATTCTTGTTTTGATACTAATCGCTAGTTAAAGCTACATACACGATTCACATGAAGTATATTTGTACATACAATATATTTTTCTGGATTTCTGTATGTCGAAACATAGGCAGATCTGATCATCAAATATATTGAATACGTTCGGTTAACAGAACAGTTTTTCAAAATGATTTCCTTCATTTTGGAGAAAATATAAAAGATTTGTTTAATAAATGGTTAAGACGGACGCTTTAAATAAAAATTTAGCGTTCGTCAGGCGGTGACAGAGTTAAAACAACCGTGGCATCTTTATCTGTTGGGATCAACGAAGACGGCAGATTCGTATTTGATATTTATGCTATTTTAAAGTAATCTCATTAATTTATGTAGTGTTATGTATGGTGTTGAATAAATAAAAAGATAAAAGAAACATAGGTGAAAGTCAATTAAGTGTGGCTTTAAAAAAATATGAATAATGCATCATCGTTTGTTTTAAGTTTGAGCGGTTGCAGAGACAAATCATATTTCACTCGTCGGTGTTACATCATTATGAACAAATTTTATTGAATCAATTATATATTAAATTATAAAAACTCAATTAATTCAAACAATAACCACAGCTTCTTCGACAGTAGCAGTATTACTGTCGTCGTTTTTATTAGTTTCATCAGTATCGTCGTCGTTATCGCCATCATCATCATCATCATCCTCATCATCATTATCATCATCATCATCATTATCTTCATCATCATCATCATCATTACCATCATCATCGTCGTCGTCATCGTCATTATTATTACCATGATCATCATCGTCATCATTTTATAATTATAAGTATTATCATCATCATTATCATCACCATCATTATCCTCTAAAGCGACAGCTATATGAACACCCGAATCATCAAAACTATCAGCAAAAACTTCACCAACATTACCGTCCCAATATCATGGATAATCGGTTTGAGAAGAACACCTTTCAAATTTTCAGTATTAACATTTGATGTCGTATTGAAATGTCATCATTTTGGAGAAAAAGTAAGGCCATAGTTTATGAAATGCCAGCGTATGTATCTGAATACATTTTCAGTTTACATCACACGCTCTCTCTTCTATTCAATATATTTAAAACATATGACATTCCTAGGCCTATAGATATGTTAATCAATGGGGATTATTCCCTTCAACTTTCAGGTGGGCATGAAAATGCACCATTTAAATTGCACGCTTCATCGCCCTCTATGTGTGTAAACCACGGATGTGCACTGAAAATGCATTTATTTTCTATACGTTTTAATTTTGAAAAATGCTTTCTCATTCAGAATAACTATGCAGGCTTGAAACATTACCAGTGTAAAAACTCAGTGAAATGAGCTTCATCAATTATACCTAAACACGCGTTAAGTCTAAAATAAATCTTTACATTACAGCCTCGTAAATTCATGTTTTGTTTTAATCTTAATTTTGGTCCAGCAGTGACACTTTAAAAAAATGATGCTGAATTCCTTGGAATTCCTTGGAATGATTGAATCTATGAAAGTAATGTTTTACAGTCAATACGAATACGAATACGAATTTTATTAAGCATAAAACAAAATACATTGCTTATAGCCAATTTACAATGATACACATGTGCAGTGAGAAAAATAGCAGTTAACAATTATACACAAGTTTTCTGAAGAATACAAGTTCATATGGGAACAAATAATACTTGTACTTATCAACAATATAGTTTTTCAGAAAAAATATCAGATTAAGATATACGTTTATGATTTGCCCAATACAAAGAAGGGATACAGTCAAATGCACTATTTTACTTAGTGTAGTATTAAATAGAGTGTAAAATTGTATAATATCAATATTAAGATAGCCACAAAGAAAATTATTTTGTTATCGTTTTATTCTACACATGTCCTTTTCATATTATTTATTTACATACAAGACTTTTTTGTCCAATTTCAAAACGTGAACAATTGATTTCATTTTATAATCATTGCCAATGAATTTCTACGCTGCGTTTCTTTTTTCTTTCTCTTTTTTTCAAAATTTTTCTTCTTCTTTTCTTTCAAACCAGTTGTATTAATATAGCACGAATGATCTCATGGTTACTGCAATAACAATTACATGTTTTTGTAAGTCGTGTTCAGAACATGCTGTGTTAGAATAATGTTTGGAACCACATGCATGCGTTCCTCCAAACAGATGATAACTTTTAAAATTGATTTTCAGTTGCAAACCAGAAATTGGGGTTTATTTATATATCCATACTTCCTGTTTATAATTGAAGGCTTCATGCATTAATTCATTGTTTTCATGTCATACAAAACCAGTTCTTCGTCTAATGGCAATTTCGTTTTATAAATTACCAAGAAAAAAACATTGCGAGTAATTGAATTTTCCTAAAGGCAATGAAATATTTGTCAACTGAACTCCGCATTAACAACTAGTTTATGAACATAAAACGAGTAAATACTTCTAAATTGATCCCCATTTTCGTTAATTACGACCGCCACCCTTTGTCTTCGTATTGTTACAAAAGTGCCGTGAGCATATTCAAGATGAAATTCGATCTATTTGCAAAACACCGCTTTGAAGTAGTCATTGACATGGTCAAATAAACACGTCCCTTGCAGAGAATTTCATTCACAGAAGCAAAAAAATGAGGGAATAAAATAAATTTACTACAATTTAGAAATGTTTGCCGCCGACGGGACACAATGGTAATAGCTTTTATTAATTTCCGTAACCAAATAAAACGAAGACGCTTTCTTTTATATTTATTTAGGTTTATGTCGTATTACGTATGTCTTATCATTTAATGAGGCAGTTAGATTCTTAAATTAGAAAACAGTATCAATAAGGTTGGATAAATTGAATTGTTTAGGTTACCGAGATTAGCTAAAAGCATCCTTCCTCGTAAATTAAGTTAATTTATCCATGTTTTAAAGGCCCATTGAGTTGAAAAATCAGGATTTACATCCACACAGCCACTTATAAAACGTTTGAGACGGTTTTCCTGTAAAACTACTCCATTACTTTCTGTAAAAATTCAAGGCTTTGTTAATGAATGTACATCAGCCCATTTATCTAATCTTGTTCCTTCAATTTGTTTTACAAAAACATTATATGTACTTTTAAGTGGAGAAACAGATACAAAAAGATGGAGCAAAACAACTACAAAATACTAGCACCTGAACAAGTCTTTTTTTCTTGTCTAAACGTCACACAAGCAAAAAAGAAAACAAAAAAGAGGAGAACTTTTCTCATGTATGTCATGCCTGGTCATGAAGAAAACTTTGGTATTTGAAGCAAAAATAACCGTAACTTTAAGATTATGAAGTATTTTAATTTGACCTAGACTTTGAATAAGACATCCTTTTTAGGTGATATATTTGGCACAATGCATACCTAGTTAATAAAATATGTGTTATTGTACACCATGTATCAGTTTTCACAGCAACATTTTCTTTCAATTACTTTGCTTTTATATAAAGAAGCAAAAACACGAACTTTGCTGCGCATGCTTGTGCATTTATGAGATATTCAACACAAAAATAAGGCCAACGATTGCTTACTTGTCCTCGTTACAGGTTCAAAATACCTCAATTTGTATTTGTGTAACATTCCCTAGCAAATAGCTATAATTGTTTACATATA